CCCGCACTGCCATTAGGGATCGCCTCAATATATCTTTTCTGGAGGCTGGTGTCATATATCCCCAATACCTATAGCTGATTCGCACTCAATCTCCCTCGATTATATTCTCTTTTTATCAAAAGTACCTAAGGAATCTGTAAATTAAAAACGAACGGCATACGTTCTCGAACTGATTTTCTGGTTCGGCACTCATTTCACCAACAAACAAACCCATCGATGCACCTATTGTATCTTTGCATATGAATGACACCTCCACATTGGCAATTTTTCGACCTTCCTATCAGTCCGTTCTCCAAACAGTAATCAAAACAAAATCTGGAGCTAATTTGCAACGGAAAAGGTGTACAGCACCCATAAGTACGTCTGGATAAAACAGAGTCAAGGTCATTTGTCCGTTCGCGAGGTAGTTTCGCTTTGGGCTGCTATTCTTTAGAGTTGCCCATTATTCTTCATAAAAAGAATAGTTACTGAACCAAGAATATTCTTTTTGATAACCTGCTCTTCATCAGGTTCTACAGTTATATATGCATAATAGTAAATGAATTAGTGTTATTAACAACATTGTTGTTGTTTAAATAACATCGAATCAATAATAGTACCAGTATAACTCGTTCCACAAGCGTAATTGAATTGGCAGAAAAGGGCCATTTCCCATCTTTAAATAAGAAACCTTTATATATATACGACTACAATTCAAGGGTGACTCACCTAATGAAGAAATTATTAACAAGTTAAGAAAATCTCTTTAAAGAACTTTTAATGCTGGTAAACTACAAGTCATATTTTCTACACAACCGATGGTGATTCCTCGAGTGAAAGATGAAGTAACTAGACTAGCCACTTCTAATTGTATCTACCAATTCAACTGCGTTTGTTGAGCGAGTTATATTGGCCGTTGCTCTAGGAACTTGATTTTTCGTGTTCGGGAACATTTATCAGTGCAGCCGAGTAAAGGTGTAGTAAAAACCATCAACAGTTCGACATTAGACCAATCGGTTCAAACTAGCCACAAGGCCAGTATTGAAAAATCCTTCTCTATCATCTACCTGGTACGAAATAAATTTCCAAAAACATCCAGGTATGGCATGCTCCAAACAGCAGAGGCTATTGCAATTCGCGTGAAACAACCGGTGCTCTGTGTGCAAAAGAATCAAGTCCAGCCACTACTACTGCCCTGGCCGGTCTTCAGTGGAGACTATAAATTCATGAATTTGTATTATATATTTTTCCTAATGTTTCTGATATTCAGTGTATTGTTATGTTGATGCCATCGAACTGTAATCCATTGGTATTATTATTATTGATTCGATGTTATTTAAACAACACTAATTCATTCACTATTATGTATTTATAACTGTAGAACCTGATGAAGAGCAGGTTACCGCAAGGGACAATTTTTTCAGTAACCATTCTTTTGAAAAATTTTAATGGACAAGTTTATTCTTTATTAGTTGGAAAATTCGATCTATAATAAATGTGTCTGCTAATCGCTAATTCATCTGAGTACCAGGCTTCTAGAAATTCCCTGGCATATTTTGTGTTTCAGCTGTCTAAAATGTCTGCACTTTCTCAATCACACTGGTGTTCTACATGTATCTCGACATGAAAGTAAAACATGTCTTGTCTTCCCACAGCTAGTTTGTATTCCTGGATTCTGAGTCGAAAGAGAACTACAATTATATCATTCATGGAGAATTCAGATAAGTTCACTCCATGGTAAAGCTTGCGCCGAAGATGTTGTTATCTAGAAGGGCGATGAAAGCTTCGCAACCAAATCATCCAGTTCAGACAACACAAAAAAACTTCCGCCTTTTAGTGCTAAAATTTTACCAACAAGAAATGTTTCTAGTTTAATTAGGTGATTGGTGTATACCCTTAATTTTACCCACTGTTAAAATAGTCTAATTTTCAAGTATTGGTTTTGTAGGAATTTAGTTTGATTGGATGGAGGACTTCATCATGAGCTGACATCAGTTAGAGAACCATTGGAAAACCTGGGAGTACTGGACAACTGTTTCGCCCTAGTTCGGGACTCTTCAGCAGTACGCACCCACAGGAGTTCTAACCCAGGACCCTCTATGTCGTGAATTGGCAAAAGTTAGAATTCATGGGCTAATGGATCGGGTCCCAGTTGCGCAAAACAGTCTAAGACCAGCTGAAGTAGACTTAGACAGGCTTAACTAGTCTAGACTAATTAAACAATGGGGCAAAAGTAGAATATTTATTATAATTAGATTGGACAGCTTTTAAGTCCGAACTTATGCAACCAATTAAATTACTTATTTATTGCCTTGACTTTCTGAAGTTGGTAATATTTATATATAATGTTTTTTTGTATAATAAAATCGATTGTTCTCACAGGATAAGACCATTGTGTCTCCTATCTTTATTTGCTTGGGCTCTGGTGGTCAGAAGTGATTAGAAATCAGTATTTGATATTTGGTCTTCAGACGAGTTATAAATCACCTTCCAATATCGAACCTTAGTTGCAACTTTAATATTAGTACCAGTCACATCAATTCATATCAAATTTAGACAAGCTATTGAACCCAAACAACAAGATCCTTATCATTCACATCAGTGGCTGACTCAAAGGTTCTAAGATTTTCCAAAAGTTGATTGGCTGAGGTTGTCAGACTTCGGAGAAGTAAAGCAAAAATGTAATAAAAGTATATTGAAAGAAAAAATCAGATGAAGCGCAACTGGACTTTTCATAACCTGGATGATAACAAGGATTTTTAAGCCTATTTCACCAACAGTCTCGAGACACTGATTCTTGACATTTTAAGGAGTCTAATCGCGTGATTGACACTTCTCAGTGTGGCTCAAACAAACATTTAAGGACTTCACGGATGAATGTCATGTTTTCATTAGCCATTCGTGAATTTCTTCCAACCTAGTGGTATTTCAGTTAACATTTTTTGTTGAGGAAGACGATAGTTAAGCACAAGTAACTTATGTCCAGTTTATCTTAATCGACAAAGATCCACATACTTATCGATTGACTTGTTCTCCTTACCTAACACTACTTCCTCATAACATGTCATGTTGTTCCATTTGAACGAAGGCAGGTACTACCATAAACTGAATTAAACAGGCCGTATGCGACTTGCACCATGGAGTTGTCCCCTGAGTCCTTCAGTCACACAATACTAATAAGTGCTTATTTCATGCATTCCAAAATGCTACCAGTTCACGCTTTACCAACCTTAATACTCATTAAGCAATTCACATTTAACTGATACAAATACAATAGTATAATCACTGTGAGATATTTTCTTTGATAACAAACAGTATGACCGACCTAATTCTGTTGTATGAAAATATGAGAAAAAAATAATAATACCGTACAAGACAGAAACAGGTATGCGGATTAATAATACGAATCAAGAATATCGATGCGTTTCTCTAACTGTCTATCTAACACAATAACGTCTTACTTAAAAGTTAAAGCCTTAATGAAGCGTCTATTTATTAAGCATAAATCGATAAATTTAAATTCATAAGAATGATAATTATAAATATAGCGAAAATATTCATTCAGACATCTATAAAAAACAAAATAATTGAGCTAGGAATATCCTTCTCGATAATTTCCTCTTCTGGCTCTACAATTATATATATATATATATATAATTGTAGAATATTCTAGAATAGTCACCATTAACAACATTAGTATTTTTTAAATAATATCGATTTATAAAGTAAGATCAATGAAATTACAGTTCAGTTTATGGGCGATATACCAAGCGAGTTAATTACGAAGAAATTAAGAAAATCAGTTCAGAGAACTTTTAATGCTGGCGAACTACACGTATTATTTTCTACACGACCGATGGTAATACCTCGACTGAAAGATGAAGTACCTAGACTAGCCACTTCAAATTGTATTTATCAATTCAACTGCGCTTGTGGAGCGAGTTATGTTGGCCGTTGCTTTAGGAACTTGATTTTTCGTGCTGGAGAACATATCCCACTATGGCTAAGTAAAGGTGTAGTTAAAACTATTAACAGCTCGATATTAGACCATCTGGTGCAAACCGGTCACAAAGCCAGCCAGCGTGGAAGAGTCCTTCTCTATAATATACCGGGTGCCTAACAAACTACCACAATCGTCGAAGCACCGCATGCTCCAAACAGCAGAGGCTATTGCAATTCGCCTCAAACAACCAGTGCTCTGTGTCCGAAAGAAACAAGTCCAGCCGCTACTAATGCCCTGGCCCTCAGTAGAGACTACAAACTCATGAATTTGTACTATTACCTTTCCTAATTCTTCTGACATTCAGTTTATTTTATGTTGATGCTGTTCAGCTGTAATTTATCAATATTATTGGTTTGATGTTATTTAAACATTAATGTCGTTCATAAGACTAACTCATTCATTCATTATAACGTATATATAATTGTAGAACCTGATGATGAATTTATCGAAAAGAGTACTCTTTGTTCCGTGTCTATTCACTAAAGATGCTTAAATTATAATGATAATAATGAAGATATAATGGAAAATAGAATATCAACTCAAATTAGGAAAATTCCACAAAAATTCAGGATCATACAAACCTAGATGTCCAAGGTAAGGATAATGTCTGAACTAGCTTCTTTTGGATGCACAAATTAAGCTTCTTAATATGGATCTTAACAGCCTCAGCAATATTTAGTAGTCGAACTCTTAAGGCGAAGTTAAGATTTGTTGGTATGCGTTAAATGACTCTGAAAGCCTCGTTGACATCAATCTTGTGTTCTGTATTCACAAGATAAGATAGAATGGCACTACGAATAGATTTTGTTTGTCCTTTACTTAACCACCACTAAGCAGGGTGATGTTCGGAAATTCGGCGAGAAGCACACTCTTAATTGTACGGCCTATGTAAGTAGCTCCACAGGAGCAGTTAAATTATATAAATAAATATAAATATAAAAATCTCTAGTAATAAATATATTTCCATTATCTAACAGTTGTCTATAGAAAATTTATTTTTCTAAAAAAAAACACAAAAGCCTCTAGACATTCCAATAACAATTTATTTGTCCTGTTGAGCTTCTAATTGCAAACTTTCAAAAGTTTCGCCTAATTTTGTCCGAAGTTCAACCAATTTCCTGTCGATATCCTCCATTTCTTTTTCAAGTTTATTGATTGTTTCCTCTTTAGATTTTATTGATTCTTCCAAATTATTACGTCTTATTATAGCCTTCTTTTTACGTTCTAATGCTGCTCTAATATGAATGAACAAAATAAATTTCAAAAAAAAAAAATAAAAAAATAAGTGGTACCATTCAATAAAAATCAACTTAATAATGAAAATTTTAAGGAATTCAAGGTGATCAATTGAGAATTTTACATTTCAAAGCATAATCTCTATAATGATGAAGATTTAAAATTAATAACTTACTGAACTAGCTTGTCAAGATAGTCAAGTGAATCGATACAGAATAATTTATTCTCAGTCATTGTACGTAATTGATCCAAGTCTAAATTGTTATTAGGACTTTGACTCGCGTGCTTTGCACTTTCCTAATACATTAAAGAATTCTAATGAAATTTAATTTGGAAATGCGATACCTTTGGAGATTCTGATTGAACGTTTTCTGTATGCTGAAGATCTCGGGGGAATATTTCACTTGCTAAATTGTGCCAAGCTTGTATAAATTCTTGTTTGGCTAGCTATAAATTAGAATATTAGATATTTTTTTAATGAATAATAATTACATCTAAATCTTTCCTTTGCAGTTCCCAAACTTCATGATCTCCTTTGTCTTTGAAATACTTTGATAAACATGTATTTCTATAATTATACAGAAAAGAAAGAGGTTGTTTAGGGAGAATATTTCAGTGAAGTTTAATGAAAATTTTTTAAGAGTGTGGAAGAAGTGAGAATATATTTATGGTATAGAAGTGCTAGGAAACTGTGAAGGCAGATGAAATGGAAGTGGACTCTCGAAATCTATTCAGATCACTTCCTTCACCTTGTTAGGCAGCATCGTCTCAACTACGGGTGAAATGGATAACGATACGAAAGGCAAGATAGACTTTCATTAGTCTGAAGGCAATCTGGAAGTCTGTTGAACCCAGCGTAAGAGACAAGATTCGGATTTTCAACATTAATGTCAAATCACTTCTTCTTCTGTATGATTCAGACACTTGGTGCGTCACGTAAAGCACTTCCAAAACTCTGTTGCAGACATCCATCGACACCTGCCTTCGTTCCTTACTGAAGGTCAGACAGCTACAATAAACTCTGGGAACGAACCAACAAATCTGTCGGAGAAAGTGGACATGGACTGAACAAACACCGAGAAGACTGTTGAATGACATTGTCTGCCAGGCCCTAGGGTGGAACCTTGGTGGGAGATGACGAGTTGGGCGCTGCTCTTTGCCTGACAAGGGAGACTGTGTTCAGTAGAGATGAGAGCTTATGGACGACCGTGTGCAGAGAATAGGATAAGGCGAAGATGCGTCGTTGAAGCTCTTTGTTCCACTCGAAAACCGAGGTATGCTATACCATATAGAAACTGACAAGGGATGAATACATCAGCATAATTGTAAATGATTTTGAACAATGTCATATAGAATCTCTGACCATTGATTCCTGCTATCTTAACAAATCCAACAAGGTAGTCTATATCACTTTTCCTCGTTTACATAGGTCGGTCGGTCGGTTTTCGACATAAAACTTTGCACCGACGTGCGGCAGTTCAAGTCGCCACACTCTATGTAGCACACAAAGCAAGAGAAGAAAGTAGAAGAAATGCATAATATAGATAGTAAACAGAGGTGTGAGACAAAGGAATAGTAATAACGGAGAACAAAACAGTTTAATCGGAAATCATAAGTCACAAGGAATGGATGCATCTGCGCCACTGAGAACGATTTTGAGCCATGTCACCAATTGTTTCCAACCATTGGTTTTTACTGTCCCGAGGACCCCAACCACTCAGGAAGTCTACACCTTCCTACGTGGCTAAGACTAACTGTTGTAGATTTTATTGACTGGTGCCATGTTTTGGTTTGACCACCGCTAGCTCTTTTCCAGCCTGGCCCTATATCAGCTAAGATTGCCTGTCGAGGAAGGCGATGACTAGGTATACGTAGCACATGTCCTAACCATCTCAGTCGATGTAATTTCACAGTCTCGTCGACTGATTTCCCCGCCTGACCTAGCACTAGACGCCTAACCTCAATATTGCTCACCCTGTTATACCACTTCACGAGGGAGATAGAACGCAGACACCTATGATCGAAGACAGCTAATCTTTTCATGTCTTCCGCTCTCAGTGGCCAGGTGTCACAGCCATAAAGGAGGACGGAGTTGACTGTTGAGCAGTACACACGCCCTTTGGTAGATAGTCGGATATCACGTCTACGCCAGAGACGGCGTAAACTGGCATATGCGAAACTAGCCCTCTGTATTCGTGCTGAGATTTCGTCGGAGATCAACCCGTTGGGGCTGATGGTACTTCCCAAATAAGTGAAGCGGTCAACGTGCTCTACCAATTCACTTCCTATTTCTAATCTGCATAGATACATAGATACGCAAACCAACTTGTTCCACGGTTAAATGTATACCGTATGAACTAACTTACAAAGTGACTACTTTATGAGTTTGAGCTTTAAATGAATCCCTAAATTTTTAAAGACTTAACAGTAATTATATGTGTTCATTATAGATTCGAAAGCAATGATTGGCGAACAAAGAACATTGTTCTCGATAACTTCTTCTTCAGGTCCTACGATTATAAATCCACAGTGGTTAAGGGTGTCGGCATTCATTCTTTGTGAAAACAACTTAGATAAACTCGCTTTAATCATTCATTTCAGTGGGGTGCATTGAGCTATGTAATTTACGTGCAAAGTGAAATTCCAATGGAAAAACTGGTTTTTTGGATGTCTTTTTCACAAGAAGATGAGACTGTAACAGATTCGTTATAGGGTGAGGCCTGTACCTTGGGAAGATATGAGTAAGGGTAACCTTATAACAGTACATGATACCCCGATTAAAAATAGTTATCCCGGGAAGTCCACAAGGAAGCACACAGCTACAAAAGTAAAAATATTTTGCATTTAGGAAAAAAAAGCTACTCCATATGAGATTACAATAGTGAAGTTGTAATCAATAATTCTGGTTACTTGCAGCTCCTATTTTCTACACCCCATGCTGTAATACAAAAATATGAATGATGAAGTATCCCCCGCTAACTGTATCTCTTAGGTGCTGGCTTTATCAGCCGTTGCTCCTGGAACTTGATCTTTCATGCTTGAGAACACTTATCAGTGTGGTTAAGTGAGGGTGCAATAAAAAGTGTTAACTGTTCTATATCAGAACACCCGGTCCAAATACACCATAAAAATTTTTCTATAATTTGTCGTGTACCAAATAAATTTCCGAATGCAACTAGCTACCGAATACTCAAAACAGCAGAAGCTATAGCAATTTGCTTAAAACAGCCGGAACTTCGTGAATAAAAGAAACAAATTAAGCTATTATTGCTAGTTTTGTCCTCTGCGGAATAGATAACGCCTAAAGATACTGTATTACCTCATAACTTTTGGGTTTGATCTTTAGGTCTTTTATGTATATAATTCCCGTAACCCAAACTTATTATTATGCCTGTACGAGCAAATCCTTTATTTTCTTAATTAATGATAATTATACTTCAATGGTTGTTTGATAATATTTTGAGCGAAATTACTGCTCTGCCCGTTAATACACCAGCTGTTGGAATTATTTCCAATTCAAACACAATATATTATAGCCCATTTGTTTTGTGTTCATTCAATGTTTTTTTTGGACCCAGAATTATATTTTCTATAGTTTAGTTTGTAAGGATTAGTTATGTTTTACGAGTTGATCACGGACTGATATCAGTTAGAGAACCATTGAAAACCAGGGAGTACTGGACAGCTGCTGTTTCATTATTCTGATGCTCGCTAGTGACTTGCTACAGGTTGGAGCTTCCTGCAGTTCTAGTGAGAAGTCGTGACCAGTGAGGTCCAATTAGAAGTCACGTGTGGATGGATTTCCACCAACGACAATAGTTGGGGTGGCGCTAAAATCACGAATTGGTAGAAGTTAGAATTCATGAGCCATTGAATCGGGTCCCAGTGGCTGAATGGTATACGAGCTTGCCTTGTAACCGGAAGGTCCCCGGTTCGAATCCCAGTGGGTGCGTACTGCCGATGATTCCCAAACTAGGATGAAACAGCAGCTGTCCAGTACTCCCTGGTTTTCAATGGTTCTCTAACTGATACCAGAATTATATTCCACGTTGTTGACAGTTGTGCTGAGTCACCTTTGTTTCATGTGTTCGTCATGACCTTAATGAATATAGATTCCATCATATATATGTAGTCTTCCTTTCTGTTTGTTCATATTGAATTTCTGAACAAAAGTGTTGTCCCAATCAATATTATGTTTCTTTTATAAAATTATATTTGTAAAATCTCAGCGAAATTGAAATGATTAATTCCAACGTTTCGTTCGGCAATCTGGTCCGAACTTCTTCAGGGAAATTAATCGAAATTAACATAACAGAGTGCGTCGGCGGCATAGTGGTTAGGACGCTCGCCGACCATGCACATGGTCCGGGGTTCGATCCCCGGCCGACGCACTCCTTTACCTCGCTAACCCAGAAATAACGCTGGTGAAGAAGAAAGGTTGGGCATGAGGCTAGCAACCCCTTCCTATAAAATAAACAATGCTACAGAAACTTCAAGCCACTAGCTTGAAGCCCTATGTTCCAATGGGGAACGTGAAGGAAAATAAAAAAAATAAAAAAACATAACAGAGGTTCATATATAAAAGGAACATCTCTTGTTTTTTGAAACTTTGTCCAATCATGAACCATGAAACAGGCATCAACAGGTATAATAAATAAATAAATAAAATTGTATGTATATATATAAAAGTACATCTCTTGTTTTTAAACTGTTTGTCCTGTCATATGAATCAAGATACAGCTATCAATAGGTATAATAAACAAAACAAAACAAAAATTTTTATGAACTGTGGTCAAAATTTGACCTCAGACTTTCAAAAATTAGTCTACTTTTTAATAAAGGTTTTTGTATTTCCCAATGAATGAAAAACAATATCGTTTTGTTATAATGAATATCATATACCCAATGCCGAAATTTTTTCAAACTGTTAAAAGTGAACTTGGTTTGGACATTTATAACTTAGTCTACTTTTGTTAAATATATATGTGTATATGCAGTATACAATGGTGTGTGTGTGGGTGAAGAATCATAAAACATTTGTTATTCTCATATGAGCTTTGATCAAGATTTGACCGGATAGTTACAAAATAATTGAGATTTTTTACAAATATAATATAATTTTATAAATTTGTTATTCTCTCCATAAGAAGACGTAGATAATCGGGAATTTGACCAAGTGTGATTAGTTCTTGATACATATCCAATTTTATTTATTAGTCAGGATTTGCCATGCATCAGCTAATATCACACCTTCACGTCTGTTCAAACTGTTGGGATTCACCCATATATGTAGGGCTTCTGCAGTCAGTCTTTCTTTATATGAACCAAAACCTTTTCGTAAAACCTTAGTCTTATCAAAGTCGATTTTGTGTCCCGTTTCTATCGAATTCACTGCAATTGCTGAATTGTTTTCTAGCTTCTTCAAGTCTGCAGAGGTCTTTGGAACCACCTTTAGACATTGTTTATGCTCTTTCACTCTTATATTTACCTGTCTGGAAGTTTCTCTTACATATACGGCGTTACAATCCCCACAACTGATCTGGTATAAGCAATTCTGCTGGTTTTCTTGTTCTATTTTATCCTTAACCTTCACCAGTAATGAGCGTAAGGTGTTTGACGCACGAAAATACACACTGAAGTCAAATTTTGACCACAGTTCATAAAAATTTTTGTTTTGTTTATTATACCTATTGTTAGCTGTTTCTTGATTCATATGACAGGACAAACAATTTAAAAACAAGAGATGTACTTTTATACATAAACATACAATTTTATTTATTTATTTATTATACATGTTGATGCCTGTTTCATGGTTCATGATTGGACAAAGTTTCAAAAAACAAGAGATGTTCCTTTTATATATGAACCTCTGTTATGTTAATTTCGATTAATTTCCCTGAAGAAGTTCGGACCAGATCGCCGAACGAAACGTTGGAATTAATCATTTCAATTTCGCTGAGATTTTACAAATATAATTTTATAAATGTCTACTTCTCACTCAGCGCTCAATTATTTTGCAACTATCCGGTCAAATCTTGATCACAGTTCATATGAATATCATGTTTCTCTTACCATACATGTGTAGACCTAGAAATAGATTTTCACAAGCTTTTATTCTTTAGCCAAACGCTTATGCTGATTCACTCTTATTTTGAGTGATATAGATTTGATGTCTGATTAGTAATTTATATCATTTTTGTCAAACTTTTTTGGGTTATTTGATTGGTTTAATTTATTACAAGTTTGATCACGAGTTAACATCTATTAGGGAACCACTGTAAAATCTGGGAGTATTTGACAGCTGTTTCATCCTTATTTAGGACTCCTCATCAGTTCTCATCCACCGTGTTTCGCTGCATACATATATATATTCATGGACCATTGAATCGGTTCCCAATGGCGGCTGAATGGTTTACGAGCTCGCCTTGTAACCGGAAGGTCCTAGGTTCGGACCCTGGTGGATGTGTTCTACTGAAGAGCCCCAGACAAGAGGGAATGGTTCGCTAACTGACATCAACCGTGACCAAAGTTGTAGCCAATTAAATCCCTGCAAATCAAATACTTGATTTCATTTGTTTCTAATTAGATTCGTTGGCTTCCAAGTAGTTCGAATACCTGCTTCTTTGAGGTTTCTCTGAATTACCTCTGACGTAACCTTTTTGCATATCAGTGTTACAGTCGTTCTGTAATCATCTTTCATATCGTCCTCTTTTCTTCAATGTCTTATTCGTGCTCTTCTTTATATCGTCTTTGATGAATTCTTTTTGGTAATAGTGGAATTATGAAGTATATATTTATTGCAATTCGTTGGTCGTCTGGAGTTGTTATTAGTCTACGTAATCCGTTCACAAGATCGTGTATTAACCCTGTTTCTATCATAAGTGGGTGGACTAAGTGGTAACCAATAAACCCCGTAGAGTGCGCTGTTTTCCTAAAATTCGTCGTTTTTATGCCTCCATCTGTTGTTCTTTGTATTTTGCAATCTAGCATAAGTAGTTCCTCAAATTCATTCCTTATTTCCATACATGACTAGGAATGTATAAGAGGAGTTTATTCACACAATCCTCCTTCTTCATTATCCCATATCTCCACCAACATTTTATCGATGACGTGAATGGTTTAAGTACATTTTCTTCCCAAAAATCCATAAATATTTAATTGAATTTTAGATTTTCCCATCGGTTGATTGGATCGAAGTGCTCGGTCTCAGGTTGACATGTCGGCTTCTTGTGCAGATGTTTCGACAATGTCTAGACATCTAATTAGAATTTAATTTGTGGGTGGTGACTAGCAGTGGAATCCAGGATGCGCATTTCGTCCATTTCGGTCCAATCAACCGACGGGAAAATCTAAAATTCAATTAAATAATTAATATGACCCGTTGCACAAGTGGTCTAGTGGATAACGCTTTGGCATTTGAAACTATGGGCACTGGGTTCGAGCCTCGATGGGAACATCATAATTCACTACGGAATGCAGGTACATCCAGCTGACGAGTCCGAAATAGGGCGAAAAGCGCAGTGTGAATTCCACTGCTAGTCACCACCCACCGATTAAAATCCATGAATATGTCGGCTATCAGTGGTGAGATGGATGATTCGATTGCTATTTCTTCATTCCTATGGTATATCTTCTCTTCAGATGTGGAATATATTCCTGTTAGCTTGAATTCTACCCGTTTGTGTTGCCTCTCTTGCTGTTAATTGTGTCCTGTCTTTTAGATAATCATCTGTATTTAGTTCTTGCTTTCAGTGCAACCACAGCCATCTTAATAGGTATTTAGCACACAGATTGTTTAGACTAGAGCTAACTAGTATTCCCTCCTCGTTTATTTTAGTGTCCTTTAAATAGCTTTATTAATTCAAATGAATCTACCAGCCTAACTTTTCAATTGTCCCTTGATCGTCTGAGTATTAATGCAAGAAATCTTGACAGCATATACGTCAATGTGTTTCTGAGAACTACAATCGGTCGTATCGGATACTCTTTTTGGTGCAGACAGTTTTATTGTAACATATATTCTAGGTGTATTACACGATTTTCCTAATAATTTATGATTAGTTTATAGTGGGAATGAATAAAATTCAGTATAAAAATTAATCATGAGCATTCTTGACTATATACTCACTGATATTCATGAACATTCACTCTGATATCTGAAGTTAAATTCAACACAATATTTATGGATATTACGGATAATATTCACACCCCATTTTCAACTATAATCTAGTAACAAGTTATTCATATATTATTGTATTACTGTCCCCTTGGGTTCCGAGTGGAGCACAGAATTTCAACAACACATCTCCACTTTGTTCTACTCTCCTCTTTAACTGGCCTTACGATGGTCCATAGTCTCCTCCTGGCATGATCTCCCCCATGCCAGGCAAGGGACAACGCCCAAATCTGTCATGTAATCAACTTAAACATTCGCTTATTCCTTATATATATATATATATATATATATATATAGTCTTTTTCCATTAAGGTTTCACTCGGACGATGACCTGGTGGGTGAAGTCACCCGATGGTCTCCTCAAAGTGTGTCCAATTCATCTCCATTTACTTCTGCATATTTGTTGAATAATAGGTTCCCGATTATTCACATATGCATCTTGGATTTTCAACCTTAATGGTTCGATGTTATTTTAACCAGGAGGTCCTGGATGCTTACTGATAAAGAGTCCCAAACTTGAACGAAACAGCTGTCCAGTACTCCCAGGTTTTCCAATGGTTCTCTAACTGACTTCAGCACATGATGGAATCCTCCAACCAATCAAACTAAATCCTTACAAAAAACCAATATTTGAAAATTCATCTGATGCTCACTAGCAACTGGCCCTATTCAGGCAGCGACCTGAGATTCTAGCGGAAGGCCGGGACCAGTAGGGTGCAGCAGGTTGAAGGTGAGGCAGTAACTCATCGAAGAAGATATTGCGAAGTAGTCGCGCTATTTCATGAATTGGTAGAAGTTAGAATTTATGGGCTGGCTATTGGATAGGGTAGGGTCAGTGGCTTAATGGTCTACGAGCTCGCCTTGTAACCAGAAGGTCCTGGGTTCGAACCATGGTGGTGGGTGCGTACTGATGAAGAGTCCCAAACTTGAACAAAACAGCTATCCAGTAATCCCAGGCTTTCCAATGGCTCTTTAACTGATGTCAGCTCATGATGAAATCTTCCAACCGATAACAAATATTCTCTAACTGTTATGAATATACATAACTGTAGAACCTGAAGAAGGAGTTATCTTTTTACTAACTAATCAGTTTCTTTTGAAATTTGGCACTGAGCAGATATGCTGGTGTAAACGACTACCGAAGATAATTTAAAAGCCTCTGAAGGGTAATGCACATGAAACTCTATCAATTCAAATGAACAATAATCGACTACTCAAACTATTCAATACTTCCTATTGAATAAGCTATTTCAACTGCAAATTTGATATCGATTCCTATCGACACTTCACGATGACATACATTTTTGTGTAGGTGATTCAGCGGTAGGATGCTTGCCAAACCACACACGCGGTCTAGAGTTCGATCTCCTGCTGGCTAACTGCTAAACCTAGCCTAGTTTACTAGCAGATAATAAGCCCGGAAAAGACGGAAGATTTCGGTATGAGTGCAGCAACCCCATTACCTCAGAAAAAACATCACAGTTGAAGCCTAGCGGCCTGTTTTTCATCCGGAACGCAAACAAAATAAAAGGAAAAATGACGTACATATTGAAATCATTGGATATATCATCAAGTTGATTAGTTATCAGATTGATAACTTCGTACAGTTTATCCTTAGTCTGAAAATCAAGCAACTGCTTTTGTATGCTTTCATAATTCGCCTTGAAACATGAATATATCCAATTATTAATATCATTATAATCAATACAACTACTACTACTTGTCGTCTTGTCTTCATTGGCTGCATCCGGTATCACGCTCCCATTGCCCTTATCCTTATTCTTTTCAACTGATGATGAATAAGCCTTTATCATCATAGTCATATCACTTTCTGTAGTATTCTTTCTGATGAATAAATTTTCCACTTGTGAATTACATATCTTTTCAAATAATTGATTCCATTCCACTGTAGTATTACTGGAATGCAAACAAATCCATATAATTGCATTGGACATCCATTTTGAAGTGAACTGTTGACAGATGATTGATTTTTTACTTTCTATTTTATTAACATTATTGACTAAATTCATATTTAATTCACTTAATCTTTGATTAACGCTTTGTTGTAAGCTTATAATTAAGTTCAATGTAGACTGATTATGATCATTTCCAGTCAATATTGTTTGGTTAGATCTAATAAAGAGAGAAGAGAAAGAGAGAGGAAAGAACAAGGCGAATTAAGGAGGGGGAAAGGCAGTAAGTGAGTACAGTTTGTTTAAATTGATTTGAATAATTACTAGTCATTTAATTGTTTGTTTGTTTGTCTTGTTTTTTTTAAAAGTTATTATTTTCAGTTTATACAACGCCCAGTTGCACCTAAAGTATGACAAATAAGAGAAAACTAAGTTTGTTTCAAACTTAATGGTCAGTTTGTCGACTGCTGAAACGGATTGAAACATATCTTCTGGATTTCTCGACTTATTGGGAATATATGACTTCTTCGAGTGTCAGTGCACTAAAACATACATCTACTTAGCGAGGGTTCTAAATTCGAACAGCCATTGTCACTTTGGGACCTATGTGACAAGCTTATATTGAGTAGATACCTACTTTTTTTAAAATTTTTCCTAATTTTACCATCATTACGCTTATGCTGTTTTCCTGTTTCACAGGAAATGACCATCTTACATGAGATACTTTATTCGGCTTCAGGTACGCAAAAAGATACATTTACGATACGTTTCTCTCCTCTCAGATGCAAACTTGTTGGTTCAGTTATAGTTGGCATGCCTAGGAAGTGAACTGGCTCAGTAGATCGATCATTCTAGTCACATGGAGAGCTGGATCAGTCGTTGGTTGACGAAACCTCAGTGCTGATAAACCACCACTTTTAATACAGATATGATGCCTGATTTCATAGTAAGCATCGAGTATATTATACAGTGATATGATCCTTTCGATTGTATGACTACATAACATGGCCAATGAATGTAGAATATCCTCAAGGACCCGAAATACGTAACGATTCTTGTATTAACGAACTCTAGTGGAGTTACTATGTAAGCAATGTAGCCATTTTAGATAAAGATGAGCTATAAATCTTCTGTCGCTTAAGGTGGTCAGGGCATGGGTTACGCATGCATACTCATACTCGTCTTCATTGTGTCATGCTAGAGAATGTAAGATTATGTTGGAGAGAGAAGAGGAATTACCGGATAAAGGTATTATACCAATAAACAAATTCACTAACTGTTGATCTGAGTAACTTAGCTCTGAACGTGTAAACGCACTTCAAACTTGGGTAACGTAAAAGAACAAACATTTAACCTTAGACAGTAGACGTCGGAAGAGAAAGGCTTGACATCACCCACAGTGACTGTGGTATACTGGCCACATTTTATGCCCTAAATGAAGATGTGTTGATCTGGAATAGTCACATAAAATTAAGAATAAAGTTGGTTAGAGACATCAGAAAGTTAACAAGTATTCAGTGTAGAGAAATACATCACTAGTTTCAGATGACGCACATAGTCTAGGTATACTTCTTCAAAGAGAGACCTTATTCTTCTTGCCTGCTGTTATGTATTTAGTTAACCCCTTATCAGTTGGAAACAACCAACTCAAATGAACTTTGCTCAAAAGTGCATTGTTCCAAGTTGTCACACTTCGTAAAAGCACGCGTAAAGCTAGGTAAAAGAAATACAATAAAGCTGCAATAGATAGAAACGTACGTCAGTAAGAATAATCATCGGTGCAGAATAATGAAGGTATTCCGAATCTACAGGATGACAAGGAATGAATGCATTTGCTCTAATGAAGACGATTTTAATCTATTTCGTTGAAAGTTTTCAGCCATTAATTGTAAACAATCAGCTGGTCTACATTTTCTTACGTGACTCAAACTACACAGTCAAAAACTCCATAGATTTTACTACACCCTATTCTCTTTATTAGCTTGAATAAAGAGTAATTGAAGTTTACAAATAGGTTTCTGCACAAATGCAATGGAGGCCCTCAGATTATAAACCGTGTCCACATTTGTTGCTTATACACACATCATTAATCAACTTCAACTACTATAAAACTCACCTATTGACTATTTTTCTGACAGATAATGGGATTACTGCTGAGATGAGAAGTTTCTGTTGCGACAGTTTAACAATTTTAGGTAAACGTCTCCATTCTTGTTAGCCAAAAGCTATTTGGGACTGAAATTAAGGAGTAGTACAAATGTAATTTGTTCCTGGTTACTGTGTCATAGACTCGTCTATCATTCTGTGCTACTGATCAAACTGTTTGTTTTCATGCAGCCGGTTAACCTTCATTAGTTTGAATAATAAAGAGAGGACAAACATATTTGAAGGAAAATGTCAGCTCGTTTTATTTCGTGAGTCTTCTTCAACTGCGTACATCCTAAATAAACCAATTATATGTTACAAAATTGCTGAACACACTTTTTACAATGATTTCAGGTAATAGATAGAAAGTATAAACAGCATAATTTCAAAGATGATGCGAGTAGGCAATTGTTTAGTGTTAAAAGAGTAACTATTTGTGCATTAATTAGACAAAGGGGTGGAGTTCAGATTTCACTTGGAAACAAAGACAAACTAGAGACAACATACAATATGGAACAATAGAGTTAATTTATACATATTATGGTGGTGAGTTCAGGGGAGTGGGGGTTGAATAGTGAAGTAAAATTATAAGACAGATAAAATAATTTAATTTAGTAGATTTGGAACCTTAAATAGTGAGTTCAACTTAGTGTGTGAAAATCAAAATCAAGATTGAGTAAAATGTTGTGCAACAGAATAAAACACAAAAGCACACGAATAAAATAATTACAGTTACCAGGGTAATGAGAGATTAGTCACACTCTCTTTCTGTATACATAGGTTGGGTCGAAATCTTTTGATGGCTTTGGCTTCTGTGTACCTAGCCCATTGGGTTCAGAAGATAGGATTAAAGAAGAACTCGCAGTCATTGAACAGAACCTTATTGAAAATTGATACCCTCGGAAGTTCATATCAAAATATGGGAAGGGAAAAACACAGACCCCCCTTGTCTAATAACTATAGAAATAGTGACTCTTTTAACACTAAATAATTGTCTACATACATCATCTTTGTAATTATGTTGCTTACACTTTCTATCTATAACTTGAAGTCATTGTAAAAAGTATGTTCAGTCAAAAATTTTGTAACAGATAATTGATTTATTTAGGATGTACGCAGTTGAAGAGAATCCACTAAATAAAACGAGCTGGTATTAGCCTGCAAATGTGTTCGTTCTTTCTTTATGCAAACTTCATTGTTCAGTGCTACCTTTGGGTTTTACGACGTCCTCTCTATCTCTTTCCAGGACTGGAAAATGTTATTCTCTAAGATAATAAATGTGAGAAAATTTAAACCTAGTTCAAATATTCATTTTAACTTTTAATTCGGTTACGTATTGAAAGCTTGAATTATTCCACAGATGGAAATGACTACTTATGAGTAGGCAGTAGTTTTTCCACTCAAATAATCAAAGAAGGAAAACCTATCGCACATTCACTGTATCCACATCCTAAAGCCGAAAGTTACCGCATTATGATTCATTGAACCAAAAGACTAATTTAGAAGGAATAATTCAGATATTTCACAAACTGAGGTTTTTCAGTAGTGTAGAATCGTATTCCTTAAAAAAAAAATAGGCACAGTTAGTGGTTAAGTAACGGGAAGCAAACAGTTGGACATCCGCGGGTGACCTCAAAGGGACTGTGTGAGTAGGAACTAAAAGCTCCTGGACAGTCGCGCGTTAATCTGAAAGAAACGACTAGAGAGAACAGAATGAAACGGAGATGTACTTCTGAACCTCCATTGCGTCGGTGGCACAGTGGTTAGGACTCTCGCCGGCCATGTACACGGTCCGGGGTTCGATCCCCTGCCGACGCACACCCGATATCTATGGTTGGCCTGCAAAATTTGGCTACCGATATCCATGCTGAAAATTCCATACTTGTACTGATAATACGGTGTGGTATCAAGCTGTAATCAAAATAAAAATTAAAAAATGTTCTACTCCAAACCCAAAGGTATATTAATAATGATAATAATGTGTGATTGAGTGAAGAAGTTTGCCCGTAACTCCGGAAATCTAGCATAGTACATGACCTACTGATTCACCTAGTGTTAACCCCTAATACACAAGTTGGAATCACCGTCAAATTGACTGACTTTATTTTCTCCTTCAGATTATCATCAATAAAACCAAACATTAAAGTAGTTCAGCACTTGAAAGTTCATTAGTTTATTTCAGCTTTCGTGGTAAAGTTAAGACTTTTGCTATAGACAGAAAGAGGTGAGTCTTATTATCTCTCAGTCTTTTCATACGATCAGGCAATTTAATCATCGAATTTCTAAACACCTCCCATCTTGGTTTGATAAAGCTCCGAATAAAGCTATAGGCAGCTCAATATTAGCTAGTCTCATCGATAGTGCACATCAAATTGACTCTAACAAAGCTTTTAAAGTTACTTATCATATATCACCCAACCTCTCGCATGGTCTACGAGTAGGACTTTTGCTTACGGCAGAGCCAATCGGAATTCACCTGAACAAGCCAAATCTGTATAGCCCATTTCTTTGCCATGGCCAACTACATGAAATATGTTAAATTTTTAAAAACAATTTTTCCCCTCCCCTTGTAACTATCTTTTGACCTTGTTAATTTTCACAATTCTAGCTAATTCTGTTAACTTGTTTGTATTTCACGTAACTCTTCTGAGTCATCCTATTCTTCTTAGACATCATTAGTTTACAAATTTCTCGATTATGTAATAACTTGTTGCTAACGCCTAAGAATCAATTTATCTTGAATTCAGTAATTAATTTTCACCCCTCCTTCAAAAACTTAGATATCTTGTTACTAAAATTTACTATTTAATTGTCCCGATGACCTTTAACCTCCTAATTTCAAACACCTATACCTAAATCTGTCGTCGGTGGCATAGCGGTTACGACGCTTGCCGACCATGCACAGGGTTCGGGGTTCGATCCCCGACCGACGCACCCCTTTACCTCGCTAAGCCAGAAATAATGCTGGTGAAGAGGAGAGGTTGGGCATGAGGCTAGCAACCCCATCCTGTAAAATAAACACTGCTACATAAACTTCAAGCCATTAGCTTGAAGCCCTGTGTTCCACTGGGAAACGTGAAGGAAAAAAGATACCTAAAACTGATTAACTAAAATAACCACTTGATTGGTAAAAACATTTTGATGTAAAAAACTATGTATTATTGTAGAGCCGATGACGAGGAACTAATTGAAAAGAAATATATTTCTTCGCTCAATCTGTTGTTTCTTTTTCTAAATGCGTAAAAAGGAATTTGTAAATTTTCGAATCTTAGTTCGCCTCATTAAATAACAAGTAAACGAAAGTTATTCATAAGTTTACGTAATTTCACTTACTTATTATCCATTCTGTCGTTGTCTTTATCATCAACTTCCAATGATTCACTCCCGATAGGATCAGGCTGAAGCAAATCACAAGTATCTAGTGTCATTAAATTTTTCCACTCCTTAAATTTTTCTCTTAGAGATTCAATTTCATAAAATGGTCCAACTTCTTGTTCATTATTCAAGTTATTTTTTAACTTCTCAAGCATATGAATAAAAGTTGATAAGCCAAGATCATATAAGTTGATCAGTTTGATTAAATTACGTTCTTGCATTGTCAGTATTGATGATAATCTCTTCAGGTAACAAAAAAGGAATAAAAATGTTTAAAAAATGTAAGACAGTGCTTTATAATTCAGTAGTAAAAATAAGTAGTATATCAAAGAAGTAGGAAATTTGCGGTTAAACAGAATTTTGGCCTAATCAGCTAATATTAGTGTAACACGAATAGTATGGTAATGAGAAGAGTGAAATTTGAACTGGGTACGAGGTGGGCTTTCTGAAGTCTTAACCTATTCGGTTCAGCCAAGTTATGTGTGAGGAGAGATACCTTTCCGTGACACTAGATAATGATGATGCTATATCGTACACTGACAGGAGTTTAATTTTCCAGATTGTTGAATTCCAATATACTAGCTGAATGGCATGATCACCTAAAAGTCCAAATTCTCGGGTTTGGTGTGGATATAGATGAATATTGCTGAAGAGTCCGGAACAATGACAGAAGCGCCGTTCAGTACTGCCTAGTTCCTCTTGGTTTCCTAGTTGATATGAATTCCTAACAAGATCTACTCTGAAATTACTCAAAACCCCTAGAAACAATTTTAGATTTTTTATTGGTATTGAATTGCATGGGGATGAGAATGCAACAAATATCGATATAGAGTAGGAAGAGTAATATCCTTCAGTTATAATGCAAGAACAAAAATCAAAACACCAGTCTTATAAAAGATTGTATTTTAAACGAAAATTGTGGTTTATACTTTTACCAGTGAATAATATTCTGTGTATTTTTCAACTGTAAGCAAAGCTCTATAATTTGAAGGAGACATTTTAAATCATGAAAAATCCCCATTCGAAAATTAATAGACAGAAGACCAGTAGTTTAGTGAAGAGTCTCTCATAGGCGAATTCATTTTCACAGCTGTATGCAGATATTACAGGTTCCCCATACCATTCAATAGCGAAATCGTTAGCTGATATTACAGAACCTGTAAGAAAACAGATGTGCCACTATTCGCTTCGTGACATCTTTCAATTCGTCGACTATTTACAAGATATCAACGTAACGAACAAAAATATGCTTTATCTTGACATTGAGTCACTATTTACGAAAGTCCCACTCACAGAAACTGTCTGTCACTTTTGTCAATATATAGACAAAAGCCATCTGAACATCGGATTACCGACAAATTGTTTAAAAGAAATACTACTAAGATGTACCCTTAATGTACAAATCACATTCGACGATGTTATTCACAGATAACAAGATCGGATCGCAATGGGATCTCCACTGGGCCCATTGCTAGCAGACTGCTTCATGGCAAACCTCAAGAATGGCCCAATCAAATCAACTACTGAAAAATTCCAATTGTAGGCTAGATATGTGGATGACATCTTTATTATCTGTGATGATGGTCACGATCTTAATCAATTAATACAAATATCCAACAACTGCCATTCAGCTACAATGTTTACTCCTGAAATAGAAAACGGATCTAAAATTCCTTTTCTTGATGTTGAACTTACAAGAAAAGCTAACGGAACTTTAGGAAGGTCCATCTATAGGAAACACACGTGGAACGGCCAACTGACAAGCTTCTACAGCTGGATACCAATGAGTAGAAAAAGAAACCTAACTAGATCCCTTACTCCTCTCGTCCGACGCATCTGCTGTCCTCATACCCTGGAAGAAGAACTACACTTCCTGAGAGAAATCTTCATGCAAAACGAATATCCACCAAGATTCATAGACAAAAACATCAAACAGAAAATCCAAAAGCAAGAGACGCTATCCATGCCAAGAAAGATACTTTGTATGAAGCTCGACTTCAAAGGTGACCTACTCAGTGATATCCTCAAGAGGAGAATTTCCACTTCTTTAAGAAGAACTTTCTTCGCGACAACACTGACAGTAGTATTCTCCAGTCGCCCGCTGATCTGCAGAAGCCCAAAGGACTAGATCTCGCACCTAACCACTTTTATGTGTGTATATCGGTTCACCTGTTGCTGTGGAGCCAGGTACATCGGTCGTTCGATGCGCATCCTGTTGAAAAGGGTCAAAGAACACTATCCAGCGTGGCTACAGAAAGGAAGTAGTGGCCGTATAAGGAGTGCAGTAGTCGAACATCTCCTAACCACTGGTCATTCCATCTCAACAAACGCCTCCTTCAAAGTAATCTACAAAGCGAGGAACAACCTGCCAAAGGCAATACGTTTCCGTCTTTTTTGCATTGCAGAAACCCTAGTCATTCAGTTAGAAGAACTAGAACTATAAATACAAAAGAAAATGATTCAGCCACTTCTACTATCATGGTAACAACTCTGTTGATCTGACTTAACTTGTGCTTGTTTTTCTAACTACTTAAAACTCTTGTATTCCTTCCAAACTCTTATGTAATTCCGTATTTTATTTTGTTTCTATATTCACCCTGAGTATAGCTCTTCCACCAAACTATTCATGTTATTGCGTAACTCTCCTTTACCAATCGTCTGTGACAACTCACCACTTTTGTTACTACCCCCTTTTATCAACATCCGATTCCTCTGATTACTTTTTGTATTACGTAACTCCACCAAAAACCTACTAATTGTATTTTCGTTTGAATAATTTAGTGTACACACATACGAAATAACCTAATACATTTGCGATTGTACAGCTGTGAAAATGAAGTCACCGAAAAGAGACTTTTCGCCAAGACGTTTTATTCTCAGACTTTAGACTAAAGAGGTAGACAACGTCACTAAATCACCGATTTCCTTGTTTACACATAACTCATTCTATGACTGCATTTGCATCCCTATCGTTATTTGTACAATTTTATTTTCTATCGTGAGCATAAAAAGTGTTTCAATGCTCTTTCTAATCAACAGTTTTCGTTATGTAAATCTGGGCTTATGTGAGTCAGTGGTTCAATTTTAGGCTGTTTACCAGCCCCGTGGTAGGTTAGGGTACGATATCTGTAGGACGCACTCCTGAACCTCGATTAATTTGCTAGCTGCCCGTAAGCCCAGAAAAGAAGGAAGATAGGGCTTCAGGCTAGCTACCCCACCTCCTTTAAAAACAATTGGAACTTCTAAAACTCTTGAAAACGTATGTTTCACTCAGAATGCAAAGAATGGAAAGTAAATCTTGGTTTGATTCGGTCATCAGTTAATAAGGCCTGCCTGACACTAAAAGTATATCCACTTGAAATATAAATATATTCTACTCTACAGTAGAATCAGTTATCAACACTTAGCTGAACAGAGGTAAGTAATCATATACATGCTGAGCAGTTGTAAGAGAATCTCCTGAATTTTATCTCTCCCTTTCTCTTATGATGACGTTGCAATAATGTCGTCAAAAATCACCCAATACTTACCAGTTAAACATACCGATCGACGTAAGTCGATAGACAAGAATATAAAGAACACCAGAGTTACCATACAACTTCACCTAATTCCGAAAAATTCCCTTAAGTTAATCCCGAATTAAAAGAAGTTGTTTTCGAAATTATTCCTAAATATTTGCCGAAGTCCCTTGGAAGTATATATATATATAGTGTTGCCAGTTTCATGAACTATCTTTCAATGCTAACAATGTCGATGCTCTGAACAGCAATAATGTATGCTTCTATGAATTTAAGTATATTGGTTAAAATCTACGCAAACTTTCAGAATATGATAGTCAACAGCGTAGAAACACTGACAGTCCTCAACTTTCAATTCCAGATGTGCATTGAAAAGGAATAGGTGAAGTTATTTTCTTCACTAAGATTCTACGGTGTTATTCTGTAAGCCAGCTTGCGTTTCATTTTCATTTCATGACTCTTTAAGCTATTCACTGCCTCAAACTTTATGCCATTTGGATTATGGTAGTTAGTAGTGGAATCCAGGATGCGTATTTCGTTCTGTGTGAGACTCACAAGATGGTTGTAGCTCTTTCCATAGTGAGTGATGGTGTGTCCACTGAGACTCGAACCCAGTACCCATCGTTTCACATGCTAAAGAGGAATCCTCACACTTTTTTTCAAGGGCCTACAAAATATGCACTAGTGACACACTGATGGATGAGCTTCGACATATACATTCAGTTTTATAAGCCAATTGTTATCCAGAAAACCTTATCAATTGTCACAGTAACGACAAACTACATCTTGATAAGACAGCTTCTGTACCAAAGAAAGCTGTCTTTAGCAACCTACCATTCAAGGGGGATCAAATTATACAGTTGACAGCTCAGTGACTTCGGTCAACGATCAAGTGCACATTCTACGAAATTCTGTGAACTTTACTTCATACTGTATCTACAAGTTCACCTGCAGCTGCGATGACATCTATACAGGCAGAACCAATAGAATGTTCCAATGTCGTCAAAAAGAACATGTTCCAAAATGGTTATTAAGAAAAAGGAAAATCCCAATGCAATTAATCTGAATAGAAATCCATCATCATCCATTGCAAAGCACTTACTAATGTCAGGTCATAAAATCCAAATTAATGCCTGCTTCACAATTATTTCAAATAACTCTAATTCAGGGTTGGTTATTAAAGGTGATGGAAGCACTTTGGATTAATCATATACATCCTAAACTATCTGTACAGAGAACAATAGACTTCAACCTTCGCCTACCTTGGACTACTTGACCTATTTAAATATGATTGGTCATTAGTATGTACTTTTGTTTTATATAACTGAATAATTGTCATGCTCTTTCAAGTGTTGGTTGTCCTGTCCAGTACTCCCAGGTTTTCCAATGGTTCTCTAACCAATGTCAGCTCATGATGAAATCCTGTCATGAGCTTTATTTTATTATTCTGGATCATGCCAGTTGTAAAGCGATTGTAGAGAAGCTACGAAATGATGACATTATCTCGCGAAATTTATCTTCTAAATGTCTCATTCAAATTTATCAAAGGGACTAATTGTTTTAACTTTTTACATTGTTCCAGGAGTTATTCAATCACTAAATCATCTATGCCTATTTTTCAAATGTGACGTTTCATCAAACAAGAAAACAGCGAATGTTTTATTTGTAAACTTACATTATAAATATCTTCTAGTCCATTAATGTCATTTGTTAAATTCAACCAATGAAATAATTCTGAAGGTTGTTGACCGTTTAAATTCTCTTTTAAAAATATAAACAATGCATGAAATTCATCTGAGGCTGATTTCAGCAATAACTTTATATCGTAGAGATTTAATTCGAAATTTGTATTCTGAAAAAGTTGTTTATAAAATTTTGGTTGTGCTGTATTTTGTGAACCACATTCCAATTTTAATATTGAACTGAACACATTAGGCTTGTATGTTCTAACACTGACAGTTCGTTTGCGTTTTAAATGACTCTTTTCTTCTGTCACCTTCATACTTTTCTCTTCGGTACAATCAGAATTAAAATCATCACCATCATCATCACCGTCGGCGTCTTCGTCTTCGTTTTCAGAATTATTAACATCATAATGACCAGAATTCAAACCTATATGATTTATTAGATCATTTTTTTTTACATTCCACAATTCACTTATTTTATTTAACACCTTAAAATGGAGAGATCAAAGGGAGGGGAAAAACAGAAGGAGTCAGTGTGGGTAGTTAGTGGGAAATATGTGCTGTAGCAAAAGAATAACTGAAAAATAGCTAAGCTCAAATGATGAACTCAAAATCAGGGGGCACTGGACAGCTGTTTTGTACTATTTGAGACTCTTCACAGTACGCACCGACGGCCCCCATTGGGGGGGTTCAGACCCAGGACCACTGGATCGCTAATTGAGCCCACTGACATTTTAGCCACTGGGAAGGAATCCAGTGGCTCACTCATTTTAAGTGATTTCATTTCGTCATCTGTCTGTAAATCAGCGAAATCACTCCTGCAAACCGACATTCGGAAATTAATCGAATGCTTACTGGTGACTGACGGCAAGATGAAGTTGCTAGGAGTTCTAGTGAGAAGTCATAATTAGTGGAGTCCACCAAGTAGGGTGGTAGGACAGATACCTGCTGATGATATTGGCTGGTGATGGCACTCACTATTGTGAGTTGGCAGAAGTTAGATTTTATAGGCCATTAGACTCGATTGCACTGGATGAATAATTAATGGACTCACCTCGAATCCCGAAGGTTTTGGGTTAGATCCCCTGTAGGGTTATGGGTGAATACTGATGAAGAGTTCTAAATTGAGGCGAAACAGTTGCCTAATTCTCTCTTGTTTTTAATGGTTTTCCAACTGATGTCAGTTGGTAATCAGACCCGAAGTAGACTAAATCCCTGAAAAACAATGCCTGAATATGAATCATTTGCCTCTTTACTTATTCCAGTGGAATGAATACCTCTGAAGAGAACCTTCGAAAATGACATGAATTGCAGCATTGGTAATCAAAAATACTGAACAATCTGTCGCTACATCCTTATTTTGCCTGAGTAGCTTTATAAGTGATATAATTTGTCCATATTCAGTAATCTTGTCAATTCCACCCAATTATATACCCCGCCATCTTTGTATCCTTTGTCTGAACTGTTTCTTTTTTACAACTTTTACAGATGTTACGGCATAAACCATCTTCTACTTCTTTGTGGATATTCATATTCAAAGTATTTTGAGACTTAAAACTATTCACTGAGTACACAAAATACTCTAAAGTTTGATTTGTCATTAAATTTATAACAATGTAAGAATTCATTTACATAGATTTTGTAAAATATTTGAAAATCTCCCCCAGCTTTAACTAGAAACGAGGTGACATAAAAAAGACTATCGTTGTTTACTCTTGTTAAAGCAAGTGTATCGCTAGTATTTTCGAAATAATTCACAAACAAAACTGAACACTCGCCCCTCCCCTCAAAAAAACTACATGAATCAGACAAAAACTGTGGATAAACCCTTAGGAATTACAAACTGTTTTATGTGCTATGGTATTTTTAGTTTCCACACAAGAGTCGACCGCCAAATAAATAAGAAATCGACGAGTAGTTGTCCTCACACCCGACCTTCTGCACCCTACTGGTTACGACTTCCCACTAGAACCCCAGGTAACTACCTACCTGAATAGGGTCAGTCGCCAGTGAGCATCTCATTGAAATTCAAATATTGGTTTGTAGGGATTTGATTGATTGGTTGCAGGTCGGGTGTGAGGACAAATACTCACCGAAGACATTGGCTTGCGGTTGAGCTATGTCGTGAATTGGCAGAAGTTAAAATTCATGGGCCATTGGGTTGGGTCCCAGTGGCTTAAATGGTCTACAAGCTCGCCTTGTAACGAGAAGGTCCTGGGTTCGAACGCCGCAGTGTGGGTGCGTACTGATGAAGATCCAGTCCCAAACTAGGACGAAACAGCTGTCCAGTGCTCCCATGTTTTCCAGTGATTCTCTAACCAATGTCAGCTCACAATGAAACCCTGTAACCAATCAATCAAATCCCTACAAACCAATACTTGAAGATGATATGTAAGTTAGAAATACGTTATAGTCTAGATTTTCTGACAGTTTCAACCATTTCTTAATCATATTGAAATCAACAATGCTATTGTCAGACATCTCGTTGATACAACTCATGAGGTGGATGCCTTTGAATTCTGTAAATTACCAATAGACAATATAGTACACTTCTCCTCAAGTTTGCCTTATCAAACGCCTGAAATCCGATTAATATGTTCAAAAAGAAGTAGCTCACAGTTTCTCCTTGCCTTGATAACTCCTTGTCTTTACTGTCTGTCTCTCTTTTATTTGATCACGTAATTTTTGGCTTTAACCTCTTTCTCTGTGCTATAATTATTGTTTATCTTCTGAGCTGAACTCATCCCTTTGTTAGACAAATTACTTGTCGCTCGTCATCTCATCCACATCTTGTCTTTATTACGCAACTCCGTCTACTTTGTGTCCAGACATTTACTACTTTTTGGTATTGTTTTACTTAAACTTTAAACTTCTGTATACAAGTTATATGAGTGTGATTTCTCAGCAGTGTTTATTAAGCTTGGAGTCTCCGGTTAACTAACATCATATCGTCTCTGCAATTAGTTTCAAATTGCTCTATAAACTTGATAAAAGGTTTTAGGCTGTACACAACGGACTAGATGCCGACGACATATATATCGTCTTATTCTGTACAAATCGTTGTTTTTGCTTTATTCAAATTCATACAAGGAAATAGATATTGAAAGCAGTTGAAACAGTCACCCAGTACAAGCGTTAAATAACCATGCTGTATAATTTGAGTAGTTTGATTATGAAACGAAATAATAATAACAAATTCAATTGTAGAAGACTTTCACGCGGTGTTTTGGAATTCTAATTTTAGAGTAAATACTTTATATACTACTCGTTACACTTGTAGTATCGTTTACAGCTGACTAACTCTGTGTACGTTTACCAGTTCACTCGTTTCTGTGGAACTAAGTTTATCGGTCTATCAACGCGGATTTTGTTTAAGAGGGTGCAAGTACACCATCCTGCATGATTACAGAGAATTGGAAGTGGGTCTATTAAAAGCGCAATAATTAAAAACATCTGGTCGATACTGATCACTTTATTTCTACAGCCACTCCCTTTAAAGTTATCTATTTTTATTTGTTTTATTCCTTTACGTTCCCAGTGGAACATAGGGCTTCAAGCTTGAGGCTTGAAGTTTCTGTAGCAGCGGTGTTTTTTTTCACGGGATGGGGTCGCTAGCCTCATGACCAACCTTCCTTCTTTAAGAGTCTTATTACTGGCTTAGCGAGGTAAAGCAGTGCGTCTGCCGGGGATTGATCCCCGCACAACATGAGGCGTGGTCGGCCAGCATTTCACCGCTGCGAGACTGACTCACTTTAAAGTTATCTATACTGCGAAAAAATTATCTAACAAATTCATTACATAACCTAGTTATCTGTATTTCTGAAGTTTTGTCTATCGAAACAGAAAAGCGAGACCTTGATATATACAGGAAAAGGTTTGTTCAACCATTACTCTAATGATTCTAATCCATCTATGCTAAACTATGATAATCTTTATTCCTAATTTTGGCGTTTTGTTTATTCAGTTTGTATATCCATCCCTTATTATTTCCATTGTTATTGTTATTATTATTATTATTTACACTGTGAACAATTTTCGATATTATCTCACTCGTCACCTTAATTAATTTATTTGATTTACCGTATAGTCTGTGCAGTGTTATCTGATCATATTTCTGACCTTGTTGTGTAGTGCTTTAACTGTCTACTAATCTTATTAATTCTACACCCCCTCTTTGAGATTTACACATTTCATGAACTGTTTTATAGAGCACATAACCAGCTTCTTGTGGCTTGATGTTTAACTACGGTTAGATCGTAATTCACACTATTACCTGATTAAAAATTCTTTAATGCAGGATGTTGGCAACCTTTTATCTAAACTATATGCATCCATATAATCAAATATATGTATATGTATGACAGTTTCTTTGAGAGGTACATTAGTGAATAATGAAGTCACATTTAATGAGACTATGACTTTCTCTGAGACACTGATGTTTAGATATGATGGAGAAGATTTGTAGCTCAGGTGGATGATTTGGATGTGGTTGTGTTCTCTGAGCTGGATAGTTAATTTGCGAAACTTTCATCGCCCTACTAGGCAACATCTTCAACGCATGTTTCAATTTGAAGTGAGCTTTTAGATTTATCCACGAGTTTATTAATCATCTCTCATATATACATATATATTTGAATAAGGCATTTAGAAGACAAATTTCACGAGATGATATCATCATTTCGTAGTTTCTTTACAACCACCTAACAAATAACATGGTTCACAATAAAAAAATTAAGTGCATGAAAATTATTCAGTTTTATAAAACAAAAGTACATACTAATGACCAATCATATTTACATTCCATGGCAGGCGAGGGTCGAAGTCTAGTTTTTTGTATACATAGTTTAGGCTGTATGTGATTAATCCAAAATGCTTCCATCACCTTCGGTAACCTTGAATTAGAGTTACGTGAAATAAGTCATGCACTTTATTTTATTATTGTTAACCATGTTAGTTGTAAAGCGGTTGTAAACAAACTACGAAATGATACCATCTCGCGAAATTTGTCTTCTTAATGCCATATTCAAATTTGTTTTTACGAGTTGAAAAATTGAGAAATCGATAAATTGATAACGGAAGCTTTGTTTATCGAATCAGCTTCAAACACGTGGAATAGGAATGACCCAACACTTGTCCCAGATATCTGGAAAATTCTACTACCCCTACGACGACAAATAGGAGGGAACAAAGAAAACTATAAAACTCAAGTTTCAAAGTCGTGTGATTATAATTGAAATGAGGCCAAGTTAAGCTTTAGGCACCACTAACAACTGCCAATGGAGTGCGACCGCACCAATGACCTTGAAACGCTCACTGAGCAAGTTAGTGAAACCTGGCAAATAATGTTGTCATCAATGCTCATCGAAGTGTTATGCTATTAAATGGGATTTCTAGCAAGTTTCACCTTAGGTTTGGGAAAGATCAAGTTAAGTTTTAGGCCAGTGACAAGTTAGGGTTAGGTTAACTTATTGAAGGCGACATTAGCGTTAGTTCAAGTTAGATTAGTATTAGTGTAGGCATATTTTCACGTTAGGGCTGGGTTTAGGAAAGATTAGGGTTATTGCTAGGGTTAGAAGACCTAAATAATTACATACACAGAATGTGGTTAAATTACTCTGTTGATATAAGAATAGAACTTGTGCATAGTGGTAGAGTATAATTCCATTGTGGATAACATTTATTTTGATGAGGTCTCACAATGTTATATATTAATATTTAGCGATAACGTTTCGAGCACAATCTATTGCTCAGTCAATATTACTGTATAACATTATGAAACTTTATCAAATTAAATGTTACTCACAATGGAATTCTACTCTGTTGATACTCCAACCTAAAACTGAGAGCTATTTTTATCACATTTGAGAGGAAGGTATCCTCTTTAACACTTTTGCACAGTTTTTATGCATTTTTTCAGAAATATATGTATTCCATACACAAAAATACCTTCTTCACGTGATTGGTTCGTTCGAGGTCATTCACTGATTAGCAGTTGGTGGTGCTTAAAGTTTAACTTTGCCTGATATGATTATGAACAATAAATTTTGTTCGAAACGTCATCCAGTAAATAATACTGTTTCACTGTGTGATATATCTAATAAACAAACTAATATGGAATTACTTACTAACACAGTGACCAAGTTTTACACCCATACTAGTGGGTTTTTTCTGTAAACTAACAGTTTAAGTTATAGAGCACGATTTAAGCAGGCAAATACGTATTTTCGAGAAATTCTCATCAGGCTTTACAATTACATAATGGTAAAATATCAGTTATAGGCTCCATCATAGATAAGATTTTATTTTGATAAATCACACAGTGTTGTACAGTAATATTAACTGATGACGTTTCGAGCACAAATTATTGCCATTCATAATGATATCAAGTCACTCACACAACATTTCGCTTCATGTGTATAGATGAGTAAAATTGATTAGACATTTCAATAAAAATCAAAATTCTAAAATGTGATATAGGTAGGTGGAGAGAGATTGATTACTGAATCCTGGTTCACCAAGCCTACACCCAACACATGTAAGAGAAATGACTCAACACAAATGCCAGAGATATGGAAGATATTATTACCAGTCAAATTACAGAATAATAAATAATGTTTACATGTATTCAATTCCCATTATAACATTCTAACAAGTTACTTATTTTTACTATTAAAAACATCTTATTTCCCGTCTGATTGTATCCGATTGATAACACTTATATCATTGATTACAGGATTTCATCATGAGCTGACATCAGTTAAAGAACTGGGAGTACTGGGCAGCTGTTTCGTCTTAGTTTGGGACTCTACATCAGTATGCGCCCACCGGGGTTCGGACCCAGGACCTTCTGGTTACAAGGCGAGCTCGTGGACCATTAAGCCATTGGGACTCGATCTAATGGCCCATGAATTCTAACTTCTGCCAATTCACGATATAGTGCGACCACTAGCCAATGTCTTCGGCGAGTATTTGTCCTCGCACCCGACCTGCTGCACCCTACTGGTCACGACTTCCCAGTTGATATGATTATGAACAATAGTTTGTGCTCGGAACGTCATCAGTTAATATTACTGTACAACACTGTATGATTTATCAAAATAAAATCTTATCTATTATGGAGTTATACTCTACCACAGTGCCCAAGTTTTATACTTATATCAGTTATAGACATTGGAAATAATGTGGATCAATAGAATCAAAGAGAATCAAGGAGAATGTAAGTAGAAGAATAACAAATTGTGGAACTAAGATTAAAATATGCAACCATAGCAGAGTATGACATTGATAATGGAATTAATATTATACAGTATTCACAGTCATCCGGTATCACTGGGATGACTATTCTAAGTCAGTGTTGAAGGCAACGGGAGTCGAAGAGATTGAATAAATACCTTTATGGAGACTGCCTCAAATATGCTTAGTAATCAAAAGCATACAGACTTAGGGAACTGAGGTAGTACCTTGTACAGAAATGTAAAAACTGAATTTTTATCAGTCTTGCGATCCGCATCCTCAGGGTGTGCCGGTGTGGTACTCCTGATTGTCTTCAAGACTCCTTTACGTAACCACATTTAAGAGTGCTCAAGAGGGAGACGGCAACCCTGTAAACTTATAAATACATACTGAAGTAGCAAGACTCGGTAGCGTATCTTTCACTTTCAATGGAATTATGCAACGAATGGTGAATTTTAAATGTAATCTTGTGGCAACAATGTTTGAGCTGTTATTTTTCGGATTTTTGATCCCAGTAATTCAGTGGCTGTGTCTCCTTTGAACGGCAAAGTCATATGTATACGTACCTTCTGCACAGTTTACAAGCATTTCTTTCTATATGTTCTCATCATGGTGACATTAACAAATTTTAATGAATTCACTTTATAAGCAGGATAAACTATGATCATTTTTGAGATTCAAATAGAAAGTTACAACTCCGAAAGGTAACGAGAAACGTTACAAGGGAATTAATAAACAATAAATTATTCGAGAATAGGTTATACAGAATAAGTGGTAGGGAAAAAACCAACCTTATGTGCTGTATCTTGAACATCGGTAAGGTGAACATTAGCGTGTGTTGCATAGTCCAGATTCCGGTTTCTTATAAAGCAAATAGAATGAAATTAGTAGTTACAAAAGACTACTTTATTAATTCACCAAACAAACAAAAATGAGTCGTTCAAAGATTTTTGATGTATTCACAGTTTAGAAACAGTGGGAGACAATTTAGCGAAGCGAAATAGAGATAAACAAACTTTGAATATCAATGAGGCTTCCGTTCGTGTAAGATTCCAGTTGATATTGGTGTATCAATTCTAAATGACAAGGTGCAGTCGGATTTTAAAAATGGTTATTCATAGAGCTTTATTATGCAAAACAAGTAGCTTTGTTAAGACACTTGTTTTATTTCACTCAGCTACTCTGATAACTTACTTACTTGTCAATATAAAAAATACATTACTTCAAGTTGCAAAACTTTGGAAAATCACATTCAAAAGTAAATAAACAAACGCGTAGTGGAACTTCAATTGACTAAGATTTGTGAAGGAGATGAGAGTTAGTGAGAATTTTCAAAATTTGAATAATAAATTTGGAATGAATATATCTGAGCCAATGCAAAATGATTTTAAGCCATTTCGATGATCTTTAGCAGACGGTCTACCCTTTCCCATATCCGGCAAACTAACAGTCACAGACTTCATAGATTGACGCCATGTTTCCGTCTAATATAATATCAGGATTCCTGACGATGTATAGGAAGTGACTAATACATCAGGAACTGACAGTCTCATGTGTATACAGTGATTTCGGCAGATGAGCAACCTTTTTGGTTTTCATAATAGTTATAATGCTTGCAGTTCTAAACTTCCTGTTCAGCATAAGTTCAGAGAAATCTTGTTATCTTGCCTAGATAAATCTGAAAAAATGTATTTTGTTTTGAAGCGTCTGTTTGCTTCATACGAAAATGTGAGGCATTGAGAAGCCTCGGCTGTAGAAAGAAGTTCATCTATCTTAGACAAACCTAGTTCATAAGTTGAGTTGACAAATAAAGAGCATCCTTAGAGATTTCTTGTATACAGATACATATGTAGCATGAGGATAAACATGGATTTACATGACATTTTTAATGATCGCATAGTTTGTACCATAAAATACAGAAGTTTCTTCCAATCATAGTCTTCACCATATGTTTTACCTGCCTTCGGGCTGTCCTAACAATCAGCATGATGGTAAGAAAAGCTTGAGATAGGAAATGAACATAGATAGTTAAGACCAAATGTTCTAACAGACTATAAAGTGTTTGTTTCAATCTGCCGAGTCAGTTTACGTGTTATTTAGAAAGATTATAAATTATTAAAGTAAATACTAGTAATATGGTACTTACTGTACATCATCTTTAAATGTTGGATGTAAATACATTTCAAATTTTTCAATTTTTCTCAACAGTCCTTCCAGATGAAAATTAGATGACATAAATAAATATTCAAGATGTTCAGAAAAGCGTATAACTCCTTCTGTACACGCTGTTAGTAATTCATACAACTGTGTGATTAACTTTCTTGTCATAAGGAATGATCTATCGTACATAAATACCCATTTATCTTTGGATGTTTGAAGTTGACCTATGATATTCAGGATATTTCTATCACAAAACTGAAAAGATTTGACAAGTATTAAAAATATTGACTATTAAGTGTTGTATCTCACTTGTCAATAAATCGAAATTGACAATTGAAAGCCTAAACTAGATTAACTTTCACTGAATAATCTGATAGAGAATATTCAAAATTCACTGTGGCTGTGTGAACTTTGAAAAGTATTCAAGTTATATTAGGAGGGAAATTGTTCAGTGTTATCCCATCACGAGTTTTTCCCCATCAAGCTTCATGATATCATCGGTATTGACTATGCTAGTGATTTTAAAGTGATAGGGGACTGCAATTAGTAAACAGTACACCAGTGTTTAGAATATTTCAATTCGCAAAAGTTATACTCGAATTAATTTCTTCTTGTCCACTAAATTAAGTGAATTGTGCTATTTTGTATATTTTGTTTGCCTTTGTTTGATGAGATTTGTTATGACAATAACTTACACGAAATCTTTGGATGCTGATTTGATATATTTTGTGGCGCAGACGTCAAATTAGTATTACAGTTTTAGTGGCTTAAAGTAGCAAGGATAACCAAGTATTAACTGCCTCATTCTTATTATCATACTATAGGCAGAGAAGGAATTTAATTACAATTTTCAAAATTACAGGGGATGACTCGGAATCTCATTTGTCTTCCATTTTCTCTCCCACCGTGTCGGAACCTCTCAGGTGATATAGTAAGAGGATAATAAATCTAGAGATGAATTACTGTTTCTACTACCGAGTCAATTTTCCTAACCGATTTCCAGATAAAGTGATGTTTGTGCTGTCAACAGACTCTTTCAACGGCGGAGAGACAGGCACAGATACTTACTAGAAAAGGTGAAAATAGGCTCCAAAAGAATCGATTTAAGTTTAATATTTTCAACAGGTTTCACCAGCAAATACATTCCAGTACATTCTGGAGGCAACAGCATGCAGTAAATACCAGTAATTTATATGTTAGGTCTACTGTCCTTTTGAAATGTTTTGGTAACAAGTGGCTTAAAAGCATTACTTAAGTGCGCTAAACAATTTTAAAATAATTGTTATTAATTAACAGTTTATATATATATGCTGAAACAATCTTGCGGCTCAGACAGCAGTTTGTGTACCCCATATTCAGTCACTGATGGATCAGGTGTTTGAAAAAAGATTTTAGAGGATAGACTTGAGTTTTAGAGATCAACAAATATTGATTTTAAAATCATTCTTTTCTATCCGCTCGTGTGTTTTTTCTGTCTCGCAGTATACGTCCAATAGCCTGTTGCGGTAACTTCCCAAAGTTATACGGCTACAGTATTCTTAATTCATAAATGGACTCTTACCATCACTGTTTAAGTCGACTTGTCAATATGAAGTTACGTGATAAAGCATCCATACCATCTGGTACTCTGTTGTGTTAAGTTCTATCGTTCATACACGAACACTATCTAGTTAAGTAGCCATCGCCAGTCTGAATCTCTAATTCTGAAATATGTAACTCGTATTCTGGACGATCAATTTGTTGTTTTGATTTGTCTCTGGTCTCAGTAGAACAAGTAATTTGAGGGATGTTTGCATGCAGAGTATACAAGGACATCCTTCTTCTACAAACAACTCATCAAAAAGGTAGTTATGTGATTGTTTTCACCATTCATTTTTAGTTCTATGCCATTATATTATAGAACGAGGAATTCAAATACAGCTGTATAAAGTCTATAAATAATCACTTTGTCCAATACTGTGTGGTAACCTGTTTGGTTTCAACAAACCTTTTAAATACTCTTCAACAATATATAATTTTTGGCTATTTATTAACACTGATTAATTACCTACAAACTCTATGTGCATTAAGCTGATTAAACACTATGGTAAATAGTCCTTCTTCAAACAGTTCTAAAGTGTTAAGTGTAGTGTTAGCTATTCTGTTAGATATACTCAGATTCAGATTAAAAGGATAAAAGGCTCTTGTTGCTTATGTGAATCCTCGCAATATATATCTCTGCATAGATCCAATTTCCCTTTGAAAGCGTTCACCGATGGAGTTGTTTCTACTGAATCAGGTAAGCAGTTCCAGTCGTTGAGCACTCTGTGAGAGAATCTAAATTCCACACGCATTTTATTCGACCTCGGTTTGAGTACCTCGCAAATGTATGCTAGAGGGAGAGAAAAGGTTTGAAAGGTCGTTACTATTTACGGTTTTCCATATCTTAATATCGTCCGCAAATAGTAAGGAAGATGAGGTAAGAATTTTCGGCACTTCATTTACGTATAATAGGAATAGCAGGGAGCCAATTACAGTTATCTGAGGTACTCCACTTAGTACTGCTTTCCACCCTGACAATACACCATTAATCCTTACCTTCTGCCTCCTATCCATCAGGTAGTCGCTAAACCACTCACATAAGCGTTGGTCTAATCCAAAACGTTTAAGTTTACTAAGAGGACCTAAATGGGGTGCCTTATTGAATGCTTTACTAAGATCGATAAAGACAACGTTCAGTAGATGGTTCTTATCCCTGGCCGCAACCCAATCCTCCCTAACTAACAGTAAGTTTGTCAAGCAGTATCGTTCTGGTCGGAATCCTTGCTGTTCCACTGCCAGTAAGTCATGTTTATCCATATGGGCTAAGAGCTGATCCCTTATGAGTTTTTCTAACACCTTTGCTATAACGCTGGTCAAACTTACAGGCCGGTAGTTAGATACTAACTGCTTGTTCCCATCTTTGAAGATAGGGCTTATGAAGTCATCTTTCCAGTCCCTGGGTAGCCTAACCTGGGTCAGAGACATGTGGAAAATCTCCGTTAGTGGAATGTATATTATATCCGCCAAGGAGATTAGCAATCTAAAGTGAAGTCCGTCTGGTCCAGGTAATTTACCTGGCTTCAGCCTAGACAGTACTTTGAGAACCACTGCATCCCCTACCACAATTGTGGGAATTTTAGTGGCTACATTAGTGACCTCGCTACGCCCCTGAGTGGTACGATTAGGCGAGAAAGCATCACAGAAGTATTCGGAGAGCTTCCCAGCTTTTGTTTCGTATGACTCGGCAGCCTCTCCAGTGTTGCTAATGAGGGACGGTATACCACTGGTAGTTTTAGTCCTGCGTTTGATATACGAGTACAGCCTTTTTGGATAATGCACGCAATCCAGTACTACCTGCCTGTTATACTCTATCCGACTTTTGTCAGTCTTATACTTACAAAGGCTTCGGATTTTGCGGTATTCCATCCGAAACTCATCTCTCCCAGTTACCCTTTGTAGATTATCTGGTCCGCTCCGTCCTCCTCTATGGCTGGCCATTGAGAGCGGAAGACATGAAAGGATTAGCTGTCTTCGATCATAGGTGCCTCCGTTCTATCTCCCGCGTGAAGTGGTATGATAAGGTGAGCAATATTGAGGTTAGGCGTCGAGTGCTAGGTAGGGAGGGGAAATCAGTCGACGAGACCGTGAAATTACATCGACTGAGATGGTTAGGACATGTGTTACGTATTCCTAGTCATCACCTTCCTCGACGGGCAATGTTAGCTGACATAGGGTCAGGCTGGAAAAGAGATAGCGGTGGTCAAACGAAAACATGGCACCAGTCAATGAAATCTACAACAGTTAGTCTAAGCCAGCCACATAGGAAGGTGTAGACTTCCTGGTTGGGGTCCTCGGAACGGTAAAAACCAACCAACGATTGGTGACATGGCTCAAAATTGTTGTCAGTGGCGCAGATGCATCCACTCCTTGTGACTTATGATTTCCAATGAAACTGTTTTGTTCTTCGTTATTACTATTCCTTTGTCTAGCACCTCTGTTTACTGTCTATATTATGCATTTCTCCTACCTTCTTGTCTTGCTTTGTGTGCTACATAGAGTGTGGCGACTTGAACTGCTGAACATATGTGCAAAGTTCTACGTCGAAAACCGACCGACCAACTGACTTTCAATTACTATTTGTGGTGGTTGATGTAAAACACGAAAAAAGCTTAACTCACCATTTTCACTACATCTAAAGCCAAATAAAAGCATATATGATTTTCTTCACCATATTTTCTTTGGTCGCTTTCAATTCTTTGAAGTAGGAGTTTGTACAATTTATGAACATTGGATATTGCAGTCTCATTTGAATTTGCAGAAGATATTACATGAATGAACTATACTGCAATATTAGCATATAGAGCCTGCATACCTCCAGATGTAGATTGCCGACTTCTACGAGGAGTTTTGTATTGCTTGAACTCGCCTCTGTTAGACTTCTATCCAGAAAATAACCTCTAAGTTCAATCTACCTTAGTGCTGCTTGTAGATTATTTCTGTTTTTTAAGCCTTCCACGTTTTTCAGGCAAAGGTCATTTCTGCCTGATACGACAGCCAAATGTAAGCTGGAATACTTTTATTAGTACGAACACTTACTTGCTGCAAATATTAAGCAGATACTCGAAAATCTCCTCATACTTTTCAAGCAAATTAACAAGCAAACTATTCTGTTCACAAGAAATCTATTAAATAGTCAAAGTTCTCTTTGAACATACTGACAATAGTGCTTTTTCAAAAACGTTCTTCACGTCACATAGTAATACTGAACTTTTCTCCTTATATTCATCGAAATGTTTGCTATCATTAATTGGTGAGATACGGAATATTAGATCTTCTTGTAATATTTTATCGAGTTTTGTGCACAAGTCAGTCACATTTTTTCTCCTCCTAATGATATGCTATAACATTTACTCGAAGAAGAAGTACTTTATGTGAGAATTTTTATTATTATTAAGAATTACTCTACAAAAATGTTATGCACATATATGGCTTGCCTAAATGAATCAACCATATCTGGAACCAACTCAGGAGGGCTTTTATCTGTTTTGTCCACATTGCTGATGGTGTTTAAAAATCTCTTTGTTTTATCGGTATTAATGACAAAATTTTGAAACTCCAACGTGTTCTTCGGACTATTAGCGACTGAATGGCCAGAACACATATCCTTCGACCCTTTAAACAAGTAACTAAGTAAGAATGTATCAAGTTTAGAGCTTACGATGCGATTTAGGTAGAAAAATATGTGACAGTATTTCATCAGGTATAAAATCCATTTTCGAATTTGTAATAAGCTAGTTGCTAGGTTTTCAAGGTTGCCATTCGGTTAGGTGTCTTCAATGAAAAAACGCCTTATTTTGTCAAACATCGAAGATTTGAGTGCTAATATCATGAAAGTCTTAGATATATGTTGGATACAACATCAGCGTGTAGTATGCCGATTTGCCACCTAGTAGAGATTCGAAAACAGTAGTAACTATTTATAGTGTAGCAGAGAAATCAGTACTGCTTGCGTTAAAATGAGTCTCATATATCCACAAATAGTGACTGCTTTGTCAAACGCTAGGCATCCGAATGGTTTCAACGTAATTTCCGATGGATTTTGAAAGACCGTCTCAGGCTACAAACAAAAGTTAAATCACAAGTTGGCCTATGGAAATTACATTAGAGGCTCTATTGCGATTGGAAATCTTGACTAGTGTTTCGGAAACATCAAAAGGAAAATAGCAATCATGCAATTGGACGCTGACTATTACTATCTGTGAAACAGGTGGCACAACTCACCAGTACAAGACTGGCAATTTGAACACTGATAAATCCGAATAAAAATTCCATTGGATCCCTATATGATCCGTAAGTTAGCATGTGTGATTCATCCATTTTAATACTCACAAACAAATTGGTCTTTAACACTGACAATTTTCGTTTCTCTGGTTCCCTTAAACCTTGGTCTGTATATAGCTGAAAGGTGTGTATTTTTTCTACTTGACACCATCAAGTCATCACCGTACTTGCTATGTACCTCTAGTTATGGATGATGTCATCCTTTGACTTGGTACTGTCATATGAACTCTGCGTTAATGAGCATGGAAACCCACAAAAAAATGTCGGGTTTATTAGCATTCACTTGTTAAAAGACATAGTTTACAGGGATTCGCTTATAGTTGCTTACCTTATGTTGTCACTTATAGTATATGCTCTCAGATTCAGACATTTTCGCACTGTCGCATATTTAATTCCTTTCGTAAATAATGTCTTTAAGAATGGAGTAGTTTTCATGTAGACTAATTTGTTTGCATAGAATTGTATACCTAATATTAGATAGCAGCGACCAATAGATAGTACGATGGGTGTTTTGCTTAGGATTTTTCTGGAGCTTTAACTATATAAGTCAAAGTATGGGGAATTCCCCATAATTTGACATTGGGACATTTGAGTGAACGTATGGTCAGCAGAAGACTGATCATGAACTGCCAAATTTTAGGGCCTTTTTAGACTTTGTCCTGAGAAATAAATTTAAAGATACTACCATTCTGAATTCAGGGTTAGGGCCACTTTCATTGATACTGTGAGAAACAGCCATACATCAAACCCCTGTAGGCTTTAACAATACATTCTCCACCTTTATTAAATTTATTTAATTGTAGTGGATGAATGCTATTTATGAAAGTCTTAAAGCTTCTAGTCGCCCCTCTTCGCTTCTTTAACTCTGCTGATGGAGTTCAAAGAAAATTGTCCAGGTGAATTTCTGTGTTGAATGCCCAAAATATATCTCCAGTGTATTGATTTGCTGTAATAATACAGTCTGTTGATATTGTCTGCGTATGAATACGCCACCGCCCATTAGCAAATATCCCATTCTATTTGCATTAGTTGGAAGGTGTTAAGGTTTGGCCCAACACAATCAAGAGGTAGGGCCTGTACAACGGAGTATGCTGTAGTTATCCAGATATAATAAATATTAAGGCGATCGGAAGGACGGAACGAGCAACCAAGTAGGAACCATTTCTTCCTTTTGATTCTTAAATCTCCCTTTATCTACCGGATGATGAGTGCCTTTCCGTTTGTTTGATTAGGTTTTACGCCACTTAACCTACCCTCTGCCGTGCATTCATAAATAGTGGTTCATAAACACAATTAGTTTTCTACAATATTACGAGTTGTCAGTTGGTAATGTGAGTAATTAGTTTGATTGGAAGTCAGTTTCTAAGCGCCTATATAAGTAGTCACTGATAAATGCGTTTGATTCGAGATTGAGCTTTCTGAAAACCACAGGACCTTGGTTTTGGGATCACTTATATGTGAGAAATGATAAAATTTGATGACCCATCCGTCTGCTACATAGAGGGACACTTGAAGTGGCTAAATAGAGCTAAGGACACCTCATGATTCAAAAGGGCACTGGTAGGTGTGATGTTATATCCTCCGGATTAAAAGTTGGCTACCTAGACGACGATCAACTAAGTGTGCGACAGCCAACAACTCACAAGGCACGAAATTCCATAACTAGCCTAAAGGATGAATCCTGTGATTAGTGGAGTGTTATCAGAAACACCAAGGGATGGATAATCGACAACCTAAACACTCCCAAATATATAAACCTGCTGTCCTCAAAGCACTTTCTCGTGACAGGAACATCATAATGTTTCTTCCCAATGTTGCATGTAAAGAATTTATTGTTTGAAATATCCCTACTGAATGGCTTATAAATAATATCGGTACCTATTCGGATATTTCAAATAACTTTTTAATTTTCAATGGTTTGTGGGAGTTTGGTGTGTATTTCACGTTTCACCACAGGTCGATATCAGTCAAAGAGTCACTAAAAGCCAAAGAGTACTGGACAGCTGTTTCATCCTAGCATAGGGCACCTTGGCAGTACTCTTCCTCAGGGTTTTGAACCGAGGGCTTTCCAGAGACAAAGCAAGCTCGTAGACCATTCAGCCAATAAGACCCGATTTAAGGCTGCCCAAATCTCCAAATAAATGAGGAGATATGGCGGGAAAGAGCTTATAATCTGTGATAGCCGATGAAATGGGGTTGCAAATTCCAAACTGTTAACTGGAGAAACAACAATCGGCTCCGATCACCTCTTTCACCCGCTAAGGTGGCATAATTCGAGCTACATGCGGCACGAGTGAGGATGGCATAGCCATCCAGGATTGGAAGAGTAAGGTCCTGAGTTTCTAACTTCCAGTGACTGCGTAGTGACGATGAGTCCCAGACCTTTGAAAGCACCTCCCAAGTACTCTTTGGTTTTCAGAGATTCCCTTACAAATACAACTCTGTGACCAAACCTGTAACTTTGCATTTGTTCCCCCTTTCTTCAGGGCCGAGTATCATTTGTCTAATGTTTATATCCCACCTAGTGACTGGATCCATATTACTTGTCTTAGTTCTTTGATAATCCCTAATTTGGATGCTCCTCGCAGTGGTTGTGTGATGGTATTAAAAGGGTGTTGTTTTACGACCGCAATTTCTCCGGGGTACTACGACCTTGGACTGTCTGCGGGAAGTGTTTCGTGTATGGTTCTTGTTTACTGAACTTAAATCCCCCATGTGGTATATATTCTCTTCAGGAACTTTATACGTTGATTTGATCAAACAGTTCTGTTGTGTAGCATTTATTTGTACTAGATTGAAGATACTTTTCTCTATCGAAGAAATCATCTTCAGAGGTTGTACAATCGTATTTATATCTAACAAACATTTATATTAGTCTATCATTGAGTGATAAGGGGTGACATACTTGATATAATAATATTAGCTTAAGAAGCTTGCGCTCCTTGAATATGACGTGCTTTTTCCTCTCTAACCGGAAAACACCTATTTTGTTAATTATCCGCTTGGGAAACCTGATCTCTCGAGCCGGTAAATTAAATTCAACCATTAATTACATGGTGAATCTCTGTGTGGTAAGTCCAGCTGTCTCGAACTACTGTCAAAGCTTCAGGTGCCACTTCTGTAGCAGCATCTCCCTCACTCGTTTAGATAAACAAGACTTGTTTGTCTACAACGTGATTTCTGTGAAGCCGATAGTCCAGAAAGTACTAGGTAAAGTTGAAAAGCTTTTCTTTTCCTTGTCTTTTACTTTTTAAGTCTTATTCTTGTTCTTGTGGGTAGATACTGTTGCACTCTTATTTGTATATAGCATAAGTAACAGTGGTTGTTAATATGGCTGTCGAAAGTAGTCTTAGAAAAGGTACTGAAATACCATACTCTGTAGTCACAAGAGCTTCAGCCAGAGAAGGCAAAAACCCAGGGACATCAACCCCTACCGGCACACCGACCCTAAAGACTCGTGTGGGTCTCGTCTATCCTGATACTACGCATGCATTGCCACAGTCTAGTACTGAAACGGCACAGGCAATACCAGGGGGACAGGATACTGCACCTGCATCAACTGAAAGCCAATGTGTGAAACACAGCAATTCTTCAAGGAAACGTTCAAGACGTCATAAGACCTCGAAGGCGTCATCAAGGGAGCGAGACGAATGTCAGGCGCGTAGTATCATAGTTTCTAAAACTGACTCAGCGTTTGAATGCAATTTTTGCGAACGGTAGGCGAACTGCCGTTGTGACAAAGGGGTGCCGAAAGCATACTAAGAGTTTATGAGAAATAACCCGTGCCAGTGGTTTTGGTACATCTGTCCACTTTGTCGCCCTGGAATAGTCCCACATAGCGTGTCTGCGAACAGCAGAAACAACACACCACTCTTGTGTCCCGACACAGTCTTATGCAGCTCCCCACCTGCTAACACCACTCTACCAAAACTTGGTACAGACAGTAAGAAGGACACTCCAGTCCTACTGACTGGAAATACCAATTTTCACAAGGTGAAAATTCACAAGGTTGCACCCACAACATCAGGTGAAGATAGAATTAGAAAAGCACCACTTGCATCCACTAGCAAGCTTGGCAGCAGAACGAAGGCTAGTCAGAACCTGATGAAGCCTAAAGTTGCTGACGCTGCAAGGGAATACAAGAAGTTTAAGGCCAAACCTAAGTCTGAGGTTAGTCGGTCTACTTCTCTTATCCCCTTTAACGTACTTGTGAGCGAGGATAGCTTGCTTGAACAACGGGCCCTGTTTGATCAGGAACAGTGGTCCAACTTGTGCAATAAATTAGGTCTGAACATTAGTTGAGTGAAATTATGCAGGCTGTACAGTGGTGTCCACACGCCTCTGGATAAGCCACCCCCACTGAGGGTTACACTGGACTCTGCTGAAGAGGCCAAAAGAGTACTAATAATGACTCAGGTAATAGCCATCGACAG